AATCTCGTCCATAAATAATTAAGACTTAAAGGTCAATTGGCAATTTAAGTTTTAAAAGAAATCATATACCCAATTTATCCGAATTGAGTTGAAGGAAATACTTCCTCTGTTCACTTTTGCTTGACATGTATAATAAAATTAAATTTTTATTTTTACTTGTCACTTTACGCATATCAAGAGAAGACAAAAAAAATTTCCTGTTATATCCACAATATTTATTACTCATTTCAAATTATTTTCTCAAATTCAATAAAATATGTATCAATTAATATGGGTATCACGATAAATTATGTATTTCATTTATTATTTCTTAAAGGGCGTCAAAAGTTAAAACGTGCCAAGTAGGGAAGAAATTCAAAAATAGCCAGATTTACAAGTGGTCGTTCAAAAATAGCCCAGTTTCAATAGTAATCGAAATTTAGCCACTTTTCATGTAAAGATAAATCTGACCGAAAACACTGTTTAAAATCCGGAAAAATACTCCAGCATAATATGCTGGAGTTCCAGTATAATATACCGGTCCGGCATAATATACTGGAGTTTGGAGCACCGGTGCTCCAGTCTCCAGTATATTATACTGGAGCCAGCAAAGTATACCGGTCCAGCATAATATGCTGGAAGTTCATACACAGGTGCACCGAACTCCAGTATATTATGTTGGACCAGTCTCTGTTGCAGCAAAATAGTGACTATTTTTCATTGACTTAATAAATACTGGCTATTTTTGAATGACCAGTCCGAAAACTGGCTATACGATGTATTTTTACGTTCAAGTGAAGGGAGGGAGGGAAGAAAGCAAAGAACAAGAAAACAGAAAAGAGACCAAAAAGTTTTAAAAGCATAAATGTGAGTGAAAGATGAATAGAGACACGTGGCTATTAAGATGGTACTAAAATCCAAGATAGGGGGACTGTCGCTGGAATCTAACAAAGAGAGATGTCTTTTTCTGCTGGAGACATTAATGTAAGAAAGGAATTGACGAAACAAAGAACCCTCTGTCTCCTCTCCCTTTTCCATTTCCCGCATTCTTCGCCTTAACCATGTTACTTTACAATACCACCTACCACACAATTACTCTATTTTCATATATAAATCGTCCAACTGATATTTTACTATTCATTCTTCAAGAATATATTTTAAAAATATATTCGTAAAAAACTAACTTTTCTCGGTTACTTACAGCTTGTTTGGATGGTTGTTACTTATTGTATTGTATTGTATTGTTACTTTAAATATAATATTTATTTTGATTATTATTTAAATTTTATTGTATCGTATCGTTAAATTCGTCCTTACGTAAAGATGAAATGTGCTATGTAACGACCGATTTGGTGTGGTCGCATCGTTACCTTGTCTTTTTCTCTCAATCTCACCCTTCATTAATTTTATTTTATCATTTACCTTCCCTTTTTTATACACTGTATTATAAATTTTCTTTATAATATTGCAAGTTTATTCATCATATTACTAGTGCGTGATACCATGAAATGACATAATCCATCCAAACATTATATTCATCAAATAATACAGTACAATACGATACGATACGATACATTATGGAACGATACGTAACAACCATCCAAACAAGCTGTTAGGGAATCCATTTTTCTTTGTATTTATTTATTACAGTTACTACTCTATAGTTTTAAGGAGCTTAAATTTTACTACTGCCTTGTTAGATATTAGTAACCCACTTACTCCCCGTTAACTGAATAAAGAAAAATTAAATAAACATTTCCTTTATTGCAATTTATGCGAAGGGATTCCAAGTACCAGGATAAAAAAAATTAATATTTGGTCAAAAACAAATCCAAGATCTATATTTTTGGATTATTTATGCATTTGGTAAAGTTAAAAGTACTTATAAGCCAAGTGCTTATAAGTCAAAAATAAGTCAAAAGCCATAAGCTGGTCGTCCCCGGCTTATGAATTTTTAGCTTATAAGCACTTTAAGTTTGACCAAGATTTTTACTATTTTATCCTTAAAATATTCCTTTGTAGAACAAAACTCCTACATCAATACTCACCGCCTCAAGTATTTTTTCAACCTTTCAAGTCTGCAATTCTCATTTACTATTTAAGATAAGCAAATTCTCTCTTTCTTTGCATATTTATATCTATGTGATTATGTGTTAATCTTTGAATTGTATGTAATAAATGAGGACATATCAAATTTTTGGTGTATTGCTTTCTAAGTGTTGTGGTGATGAAGATAGTGTTTGTGTCTCTTCAAATATTTTGTCCTATTTAGGTTTATTTTCACTGAGAAACTTTTGTCAATTCATTAATTATTATAACTTATGATTATATGCTTATCATAAAATAAATTATACTTATCATAAAAATTATTTTATCTAAGCACGGTAGTATTCAAAATAAAATGACAAATAGAATATTTTGTATTTGAATCGATCTGGAATATAAAATTTTAAAGAAATTACGCCCTTATAAGTGTAAACAGTTCTAAGGTTATTTAAGTCATTTTAACAGAAAAAGAGGTTATCGGCACTTTTTTATCAAATACTGCAACAACTTATTATCAATTTCAGCACTTGTACCCAAACACGTAACTGCTTATTTATTAAATCAGTTTTAGCACTTAAAAGTGCTTTTCAGCACGTAATGCTTATCAGCTACTTCAAATCAGCTAATCCAAACGGGCACTTATCCCCTTTATCTTTAGAATAGAAAACACAACGCTCCAGGGGAGGCTCAAGCTCATATGGGGCCTAAGGCCAAAGTTTAATATGGGGCCTAAGGCCAAAGTTTGTATCTTCGTCAGATTTCTCATAAACCTCTTCTTCGATTTGGATTTTGTTATCATCTGACTCAAAGTTAGTGACTTGTTCTACAGAATATTCTCCTACATTTTGCGATTTAGTTTTTTCATTATTTGTCAAAAAATTCTCAAGATCTCCTTTCTGAGATTTTATTAAATTTTCAACTTTTCTTTTCTTTTGGATTTTTGAATATCCGGATGCATATTTTCTTGTAGACATGTTTATATTTTAAAAAATGTAAACAATATGTACATAGTAAAATTAATAAAATAATAAATAACAAATAAAAATAATACTAGAAAGATAGAATGATATTACCCGACTAGCTGATTCAAGAAGTTTGAAGACTTTGATTCCAAAATATCTAATTGTTGGCTTGTTGGAGTCTTGGAGAAAGAAAGAAATATAGTGGAAAGAAGATGAGCATGAATAAAAATGAAGCAAGAAGGTATGTCACTATGTCTCATTCTCCTATATGGAATATGAAGAATGAAATGAAACTGAGATGTTGGATTGGGTCTTGAAATTATTTGGGAAGAAGAGCAAAAAGTAGAATTGTCAAATCAAATCCAAGTGACAACTATTTTTTTAGTACTATTTTAAGCTTTACTTTATTAATATATTGAAGTTTTTCTTTTTTTATATATGAAAAGTAAAAAAGTACTGCTATATATATTATTTATTTTTAAAAAAAGAAAAATCTATAAACCTATAAAATATATAGTATTCCTAAAAAATGGGGCCTCCCAAAATTGGGGGCCTAAGACACTTGCCTTACCCCATACACCTATAGAGCCGGCCCTGAAACGCTCTTATGCAACATTTTTTGTTGAGAAAAAAATATTACCGTCTTTTTCTTTTTTCCTAAAGATTTTTTTAATCCAAGGTTTTAAAAATGATAAGTGCAAACTAAGATAAAAATTTGGTTAAGATGCAACTACAAATTGGGTTGCCTCCACAATTATATGCTGAGGTAATTAACTCATTTTTAATAGTGTTTGAAAAAATCTGTCACGTGAATTTTGCCCAAGCCTTTGTCTTGATTTATTCATCACAATGTAGTAGTATTATTTAAGGCTGAAACAATTTGCAAAATGTTGTAAAAGGATATTATCCAATCCTTGATATATTATTATGTTCATTTTATTTCTCTAACAATGCACACTACAAAAAACCATGGATTTTATGTCGATTGAAGTCGCCACAAATATTTTTCTCACTGGAAAAATGTTACATAAGAGGTTGTCATTCCCATTTAAAAGACGGAGAGAGTATTATTTCCTAGATTTTAAAGGTTAAGGGGATAAAGCAAAATTTATTCTACTTAATATTAAACTTATTTGTAATTTTTCACATGTATCATGTTTGTGTCTAAATACAAATTTGATTAACGTCGTAGCTAATAAATTATATACACTACTATTTTCAATGTAAAGTCAGTTATTGATTCTTCAAATTTTGCAAAATAAGATGTACAATAATAATATACTGTAAGTCAATATGTCTAACAATTTAGAGCCCGTTTGGACATAAGAATTTTTTCCTTTTTTTCCAAATTTTTTTTACTTTTTTCGGAAATCAGCGTTTGTTAATAAAATTTCTAATTTTCACTTGAAAATTCATTTTGAAAATGTTGGAAAATTTGAAAAACTCAAAAAACCCGATTTTCAAAATTTTTACTCAAATCACACACAAAACTTAAAAAACAACCCAAAATTATATTCATGTCCAAACACAACTCAAAAATTTCAAATACTATTTTCACCCTTTTTTAAAATTTTACAATTCTTATGTCCAAACGCCCACTTAGTATACTTAAATAAATTGATAAAATTATACTAATCAAATAAATTGTTTGACTCATCAAATAGTAAGTCAGGAGGAAGTAATAAGCAATGAGAAAAATCAAGTTGGTTCTTTCTCAAGCCCAACCCCAGCAATTTTTTCACCTTTTCTGTAACAAAATTCTACTGAATTTGGAAATTAAACAAATTAAAATAAAGGTACAGGCAGGAAAGCAGCAAGCACCACTGCTTTTCCTCTTCTTCTTCGTACGTTTCTCTCTATCTTTCTGATACAGTGAAATCATCATTGCCTTCTATTAAAAAAAAAAAAAAATAGATAGCATTTGTTGAATTTGTTTTTAATTTTGTTCTGAGAATGCATTGAAGTCATCGTCGGTTCTTCAGTAGTCTTATCAGATATGTTTAAGTAGTGCGTCACTTTCTGTTGGCCTTTTCTTCTCACAGATCTCCTTATTTCATTCAAACCTACTCCCCCACCGTCTCCTCCCCTCTAATTCTTGCGCCATATAAAAAAGCTGAAACTGGCAATTTTTACTTCTATCTATTCTCCAGTTTAATCCGAAGGTTGCATTTTGATCATATGTTTGTACATTACATTTTTATCTTCTGTTTATGCTGTTTTTTTTTTTTTTTTTTTGGTGTTCCCCTTTTTTCTCTTTATTATTTCTATTCTTTTTCCAGTTAATTATAATTGGTGCTGAGTAGATTCTAAATAACAATCTTGAGGTTTAAATTTTTCCCGTCCTTTGTTGGGTATTCTGGGGTTAATTTTTAATTGGTGTCTTTCAGTTTCTTGGCATTTTTTTAATTTTCTGCTGGTAGAGTATTCTAAATTAGAAACTTGCCTTTTCTGGTTGGTCTTTGTTGGGGGTTGATATCAAGATTTTTTGCTGAGGATGTGAATAATTATGTAACATATTTTTAAGATAGGGCCCCAGTTGTTAATTTTCCTTCTCTAAGTTTTTTTTTACCTATTTTTTCAAAATTTGTCAGCAGTCCAACTTTCAGTTTTTACTGATCATAGCCCCAAGACTGCAGTTTTACTATCTGTTGCTGCATGTTGACAGAAATTCTAAAGAAGAGGAGAAGGGCTTTTACTTGAATGCTTTTTAGCATTGAAGAACTTCTGCAATGCAAAACTTAGGCAGAACAAGAAGTCAGCCAAGGTCTAATAGATCTATGCCTTTAGGAGGTGAGCTCTTAAATTGTCCGTTTCTTTTGCTTATTATTTTGCCTTTCTTTAATAACCAAGTAATCCCCGAGTGGTGCACATTCGAACTCGGAGGTTAATGGACCTGCCCTCTACCCTTGTCTGCCGCAGTGTTCGAACTCGTGACATGCGTCTAACCTGCACATCACAAGTTGCGCTCTTACCACTAGACCAAAGCCCTAGCGGCTGCCTTTTATTTCTTGAACTTTTTTTATGGTAGAGAATTTCAATTTGATTAGCACCTAAATAGACATTTCTGTTTCTGGCATTAAATGGCAGTCAAAATGAGTGGGTGTTTTGATATTTATAATCATGCTTCTGATGGTTGTTTGTCAAAGTGTCAAGTGTTTATGTTATAAAAAAAACAACACCTTTTATTGGTTCTAAACAACTTTATGTATTGGTTGTAGGCATGGATTATGCAGATCCAAAGAAGAAGAGCAATTATGTGGGTAAAATTCTTATGGCTGCTATGTTGACAGCACTATGCATTCTTATGCTCAAGCAGTCCCCAAGTTTTAATACCCCAAGCGTAGTAAGTCCCTGATCCTTTTCTTTATTTATTCCCATGTTAATAATCTCTAGTAACAGGTAATATGTTTACCTTTTTTGTTAGTGCATTTATAAATTTTCAATGAGAATTAAGAGTCACAATACTCATGTGGCATTTCTTTAAGAAATAGAAAAGCCTCGACTAACATCTTCCAAAATTTGCCCTTATTAAGTTTCTTTCTACTTCATCTTTGACAGTGTTTAGTTCTCTATTTTCTTGTTGACATGTAAGATAGTGCTTCTAAACTAATCTCCTGCTAATAGTAAGAAAGGGGAAATATGTACATGTTCTGATTTTGCAGACTCTTCTATTTTTAATGAATATTGGAGAAGATTGTATTGCAAGTTTACAGCACATGTAGCCTTTTTTTATCTATTAATATTTGAGGTTGCTGCTCACCATGGTTGTTTCTCTTGTTGCCTGTTTCTCCTCAGTTCTCTCGGCATGAACCAGGTGTCACTCATGTCTTAGTCACTGGAGGTGCTGGCTATATTGGCTCCCATGCAGCATTGCGTCTTCTGAAAGAATCTTACCGGGTGACCATAGTGGTAATTTCTCCACTTGATGTTTTGGATAGGTCCTTTCATAATCATCCTTACACAACTCTTTTATTTTATTTTCGAATTAATCACCTCTTGAGTGTGAATATTTGCACGGGACATCATAGGAAATATGATTTACTGATTTTAACAGGACAACCTTTCACGAGGAAACCTAGGCGCTATTAGGATTCTACAAGAACTATTTCCTGAACCTGGCAGGCTTCAGTTCATATATGCTGACTTGGGGGATGCAAAATCGGTAGACTGCAGCTCTCAACTATCTTTTGGTACTTAAGTTGTTTGTTTTTGCCATTCTACTTATTCCTGTGATTAATATCTGCAGGTGCACAAGATATTCTCCCAAAATGCATTTGATGCGGTCATGCATTTTGCAGCTGTAGCATATGTTGGCGAGAGCACCCTTGATCCTCTCAAGTAAGTATTCAATTTCTTTGAAAATTTGGCATATGTATATATACTCGGGCTGCATGTTTTGAGAGGAAAAGAGTTGAATTTTTTAAACTGTAACTTTGATCAATAAAGTCTTGAAAGTAATGAAAAGGACTCCCGAAAAGATCAAGTATGTACAGATATCGTATTTTTGTGACATTGTTGTTCGCGAATTAAGAATATTATAAGCTAGGATAACATTTTATTTTGTTGTCTTGATTTAGATGGTGTTTGGGATTCAGTGCTTTTAAAGAAGCATTTCTCACAAACGAAGACACTAAATTTTCGCTTTTTGGTAAATTACATTGGAGCTAACTCTTCCACCAGTGCTTTGGCAAGTTATGCACTTTTATCCAAAAGTGGATGTATAAAAAAAAGCTGTGATCTTTCTTTCTCTACATGGTACCTGAAAATGGATTGTCACGTTATTTCAAACTGACTGAATGCCTGTTTTACATCAAATTTAGTGTATTAATTTTCCATTTGAAAGATTTACTTTATATTAACTATCAACCATGATGTTATTCCATGTTTGGGAACATTATTGTTATGGCAATATTGCATTGGCTTTTCCCTTCACTTATATTTGTGTGCTGCTTCATGTGTTAATCAGATATTATCACAATATCACATCAAATACCCTCACTGTATTAGAAGCAATGGCAACTCATGGAGTCCCAACTTTAATTTACTCTAGTACATGTGCAACGTATGGAGAGCCTGAAAAGATGCCCATTACAGAAGGAACTCCACAGGTGAGTGTTTTAAAGGGCTTACGCATGTATTGGGCTAGAAGCATTTGAATGATGTTTAATTCAATTGGAGAGATCCACCATTTCTATGTTGGGAGCTTATTGTGAAACAGCTGAGCCTTTTCTCTCAAATTGCAGCTCCCTATTAATCCATATGGAAAAGCAAAGAAAATGGCGGAGGATATCATTCTGGATTTTCATAAGAACTCAAACATGGCTGTCATGATTCTGAGGTTGACTTTTTCTTACCTTATACTCCTTTGCGTTTAGTTTATGTGTTTTTCACGCTTGCTAAGTGATCCTTAACAGTGTTTCTCCTCACTTTTTTCTTCTATTTCTGTTTTGTGGTTTTGGTTATTTCTTTCTATTTGTCCTTTCACTTGTTTGTTCATGAACTCTAGCACCTCATTATTATGTCTATGCAGTTTGTTGATGTTTTTGGCCATTTATCTTCTAATCGGCATGTCTAGATGAGACTATTTTAGTTTCCTGTTATTGGAAGTCCTATAACTGATGTTGCTAAGTAACTTATGGAAGTATCTTTTCAGTTGTTGTGCACTGCTTTTTCATTGTTATTTACCAAGTAACTACAAGCTTGTGCTTCTTTGACCAATTTTTGTTCTTGAATTGTTATGTATAGCGCATTGTATTGCTCAAACTAATGCTTACATCGGTTTCTCAAAATTCAGATACTTCAACGTGATTGGATCTGATCCAGATGGAAGACTAGGAGAAGCTCCCCGACCTGAACTTCGTGAACATGGCCGGATATCTGGTGCTTGTTTTGATGCAGCTCGTGGAATCATACCTGGGCTTAAGGTCAGTAAATATTTGCTGTCTGCTTGTTTGTATTGTTGAATTTGCCAGAAAGTTCTCTATATGTTTTGTAATGTCTGGCAAACTTTTGCCTGGTTCAATGAGTACAGTACGCGTGAAATAGTGTTAGAACTTCCATATCTCTTCTGATTAATGGTTGCTAATTTATTAGCAATAACAATCAAATGAGAGAGATAAGACTGCTCTATGCATAAGAGTAAAGAGTCCTGATATGGAGTCGAGAAAGTGGACGTTTGTATCATGTGACATGATTTTTGTTAATAAGCCATTGGCACTGAGCCGGAGTTCTTTGTCATGCAGGTTAGAGGAACAGACTATAAGACACCAGATGGTACATGCATAAGGGATTATATAGACGTGACCGATCTGGTTGATGCTCATGTTAAAGCTCTTGAGAAGGCAAGGCCAGGAAAAGTTGGGATCTACAATGTTGGAACAGGAAGAGGTAATGCACTCTGTTCTACATAGTCGAGTTTGGTTTACTCGAAATGATCTCGAGGTCTCAGTCTCCCCTCTTGTTTCCGAAAACAGGTAGATCAGTGAAAGAATTTGTGGAGGCTTGTAAAGCTGCTACTGGGGTACCTATCAAAGTTGACTTTCTTCCCCGTAGGCCTGGTGATTATGCAGAAGTGTACAGTGATCCAACTAAGATTAGAAATGAACTGAACTGGACAGCCAAATACACTGATCTTCAAGAGAGTTTGCAGGTCGCGTGGAGATGGCAGAAATCACACCTTAATGGTTATGTTTCATCCTTGGCGACATCCTTGGCAACGTCCTGATAATGCTTCATCAACTTATCGTTGTAGAAGACTGACCTGAACCTCATGTCACAGCGTAACTTATTGTCGATTTATTAGTATCCATAGAGTACAGTTTTCGAGGCCAAGAGGGGTCCATGTTTAGTCTTTTAGCTAGATGGAATTATATAGCAATTAGGCAGCTGCCTATTTACCCATTGTTATGTGTATTTAGTGAAAGGTATATTTCAGATCAATAATAGTTTCCATTCAGGTGTAGCTTCCATCTGCCTCCTCCCTATGGATTTGTTTCTCTTTTCTCCCATCTTATGTAAAAATTAAACTAATGCTTACAATTTACTCCCAGAAGACTCTTCAACTTATCGAGGACATGACCCTAGATAGGAGAGCATGGAGGTTGATGATTAGGGTAGAAGATAAGTAGTCGAGCGATTTCTCTTTTTTCTACGGAAGAGCATGATTCTAGTTTAGAAGATAAGCCATCTTCTCCTTATCATTGTTATAATTAATATTCTATGATTATCTTATTCTTCAACTTTATTACTACTGATATTTCTTTTACTCTGGGTATCTTTACTAATTTTGCTGTTAATACTTTTCTTATCTTTAGTATTTTCATCTTAACTCTTCTACTCTTGTATTTTTCAAACTTGTTTTTAAAATGCTTTTCTTGACCCCAAGGGTTTATCGGAAACAACCTCTCTATTTCACACGAGATAAGGTAAGCTTTGCATACATACTACGCTCTCTATACTCCACTCTGGGTATGTCGTTTTTGTCGTTGATATACTCCCAGAAGACCTGTTCCCATGACTTTGCTTTGGAGAAACTACAACTTTCTTGTACATTCTGTTTTTTCATTCCTTGGCGTTACGATTGATTGATTAGTTACTTGGGGTGTGTTTGGTACGAAGGAAAATATTTTCCGAAAAATGTTTCCAATTTTTTTATGTTTGGTTGGCCTAAATATTTTGGAAAACATTTTCCCCATGAACTAATTGGAGGAAAATGTTTCCCTTCCCTTCCCCACATTCTTTATCCCCAGCAACCCCTACTAACTCACCCCCACACCCCCAACCCACTCCCCACCCCAACCCTAAATAGAAATATTATTAATAGTACTTTCTTTTCATGTTATAGATAGAGCATTTTTTTCATTTCAAAAAATGAGTATTTTTTTTTCACCATATAAAAAAGTTTTTTCTTTTCGTGATGTAGAAAAAATATTTTCTTTCATTTCAACAAAATGATGTAGTCAAAAGTATTTTCTTTTATTGCAACAAAAAGAGTATTTTCTTTTCATGAGGTAGAAAAAGTAATTTCTTTCATTTCAACAAAATGAGGACTTTATTTTCATGTTGTAGAAATAGTATTTTCTTTTTCAACCAAAAAAAAGAGGTTTTTTTTTTGGAACACAAATTTCAACGTTGTTTTTGCGTAAAAAAGTAAAGTAACGCATTAGTTCTTTTGGGCTTGTGCGAATTTTTATATAATAATTAAATTCTTGACGAAAATATAGTCATGAAAATATTGGGTAGTTGGGTAGGGGGGGGGGGGGGGAGCACAGGAAACATAGGGACTTGGGGAAGGGGGGTGAGGAGAGTAGCATAAAAAAAATTCTTAAAACATATTTTCTACTCTCTAACCAAACACTAGAAAATATTTTCCGGAAAAAACATTTTCACTAACCAACCAAACAAGAAAAAATAAGTGATAAAACCACCAATTTTCTAAGAAAACATTTTCCTTCGTACCAAACACACCCTTAATATATGTAATTTCATTGGTTGCTGAGAAAATCTATTCTACAAAACAATAGTTTTTTTTTTTGGTTAAACTTTTAAACTTTTATTTAACCAAGTAAAAATATTTACATCCACTAGTTCTTTTGGACTCTAGAACTAGATCTATCTATAGAACTATTTGACTAATCAGTTAACAAAAACTTCCTATAACAATTACATTGTACTATATGAACTAAGGAAAATTCTTCAACTTTTCTAGCTCTTTGTGACACTTTGTTTCTCTTTGTCCTGCTATATGTAACTCCATTGCAATGTCTTTGATTCTCTGAATATTTTGGAATCTGTGTTTTGGTATTGCCTTAGATCCAGTTAATACTTTTTTCCACAAGCTTTTCTGAAATTGAGGTCACATAGCAATATATAGCTTTTTAATGCTAAATTTGCCATTTTTATAGTACCTGTGTAACTTAGCACTTGTATACTTTTCCAAAAACCAATATCTGATATCAAAAATCTTCCTAACAAGCCAGCATGCTTGCTTAGGAGTATCCATCCTCATGCTATCTTGCCCTTTGATGTAATAGCTATGTATCCATTGTATCCAAAGGATATCCTTCTTTGCACTAACAACCCTTAGTAATTTACACAGTGCAGCTTTGTTCCATATATAAATGTCTAGTACATGTAACCCACCTGCTGAGTAAGGCATACACACTGTATCCCATGCAATTAAAGCTCTTCTTGATGGCTCTCCCCTTCCTGTCCATAGAAAAGTTCTACAAACTGAAATTATTAGCTTAAGAATTTTCTTTGGCAGTAAAAACACCTGTGCCTAGTAAGTCTGCATTTCAAAAATCATACTTTTCAGCAATTGGAGCCTTCCACTATATGATAGTAGCTTAGTAGTCCAGTTGATCCTAGTTGTGATCTTCTCAATTAATAGCATACACTGTTGAACTGTCAGCTTCTTAGAGGATAATGGTACTCCAAGATATTTGAATGGTAGTTCCCCTAGTGTAAATTGCATCTCTTCCAGAATCATCTCTTTGAATTCCTTTCTAACACCTGCAATGTATAAAGCACTCTTCTCCATGTTAGCTTTCAGGCCTGATACTTCTGAAAAATGATTGAATCTGTCTATCAGCAATCTGATGGATACTCTATCTGCTCTACAACACATGATCAGATCATCTGCAAAGCATATGTGTGTAATATTATTTCTGGAACACTTTGGGTGATAATAAAAGTCAGGGTTCTCCTTCAGCTTCTTCAATGCTTTATTCAGATATTCCATCACCAATACAAAAAGATAAGGAGACATTGGATCTCCTTGTCTTAGCCCCTTTTCCCCTTGAAATTTAGCTGTTAACCTTCCATTTAGTATCAATGAGTAGCTGACAGTAGAAACACAATTCATTATCAGCTCCACAAACTTGGTAGGCATACCATACTCCATCAATATCATTCTTAGAAAAGGCCATTCTACTGAGTCGTATGCTTTCCTTATGTCCACCTTTATACAGCATCTTGGTGAGACTCCCTTTTGAGTATATCCCTTAACCAGCTCATGTGCAATAATGACATTATCAAGTATGTTTCTCCCTTCTATAAAAGCTGACTGAGAAGGTCCCACAATTGAGTCCACTACCAGCTTCAATTTTGCTGGTGAGAATCTTGGATATGATCTTGTACACTGTAGTGCAACAGGCAATAGGTCGAAACTCTTTGATAGAGTTTGGGCTAGCAACCTTAGGTACTAGTGTAATTGTTGTGCAGTTAATACTCTTAAGCAACTTCCCAGTGTTGAAGAATTCCTGTACATCTTGCTTGACTTCTCCTCCAATTATGTGCCATTATTCTTTGAAAAACTCTGCTGGAAAGCCATCTATCCCTGGTGCTTTTTCATTTGGTAGCTCCTTCACTGCCATATCAATATCTTCCATAGTTACTGGGGCAATAAGCAATTGTTGTTGTTCTTTTGTAAGGCAGTGTCCATCTCTAGCTGTTGCAATATCAATACAGGGAATCTCACTTGCTGAAGTGCCCAATAAGCTTTGGAAGAAGCTTTTGAATTCTTGTTCAATCTGCTTTGGTTCTAATATTCTCCTCCTTTGTTCATTACAAATAGATGCAATTCTGTTCCTTGCCTGCCTATTTTTTATTTGAGCATAAAAGTATTTAGAATTTCTATCTCCTGCTTTTATCCACACTGCTCTGGACTTTTGTCTGAGAACCTGTTCATTTACCCCTTCCCATTTTTCAGTTTGCATAATCAACTCTCTTTCCTGCTCAATTAACTGTTGGTTGAGAGGGTCATCACCCAGTTTCCTTTGAGTATTCTGCAGCTCCATTCTTAGGTTCACAATCTTCTTCTCGAATGAGTTCATCTCCTTGTTCATCTGCCTGGTTCTATTCTGTAATCTTTGCAATTTAGTCCACACAGAGTACATAGCAGACCCCTCAATTCTTTGGTTCCAGACTTCATTCACAACCTTAAACTCCCTTTGATATAGCAGAACATTGTAAAGCCTAAAAGGCTTTTGTAAGTGGTTCTTTACCACTTCAGTGTTCATCACAATAGGTGAGTGATCAGAAATCTCTGGTAGTTCATATATAGCTTCTAGACTACTATACTTTGTAAGCCAAGAGGCATTTCCAAACACCCAATCAATATTGCTATTGATTCTATCTCCTGCATCCCTTTTATTGCACCATGACCATTGACAGCTTTTTCTATTCAGTTGCCCCACTCCAATGTCTCTTATTCAATCTTGGAAATCCACTAATTCAGCTTGATGTATAGGTTGACCATTTATTCTATCATTGACAGACAGAACATTATTAAAATCTCCTATGACCAATCAAGCCTCTTGCATTGTGCTATGAATCTGTCTTAGTTGATCCCATAGCTCCTCCTTTCATGCACTTTGTTCTTTCCATATACAAAAGTGATGTAACATGACAATTGTGACCCTCTTTCTTTCACTTGGCAATGGATCAATTGAGTAGTAACCATCAGCATTTGGACTTGGACCATACTGTCCTTCCAAAATATCCATAACCTCCCAATAGGACTTATCTTTTCATCTGAAAACACTTGCCAATCCCTACGGAACTTACTTTTAACTTTGCTAACACTTCTAGGCTTTATCTTTGTCTCAAGGCAGCCTAGTAAAGTAATTTAATGCTTCAACATAAAGGCCTTGAGTTCTCTCTGCTTAATACTCCAAGAGCTTATGATCATGGTGGATTTTCCTCATTGAGGCCAATCCCTTCAGTCACCTTTGTAGTGCTGCAATCCTCTTGTATTCTCAGAGAGCTATACCTATTAGTCATTAGCAGCTTCTATATCTCATTGTCATTTAGAGCTCTCTTGTTTTGTATTTGAACTTTCATCTTCTGCTTTCCTTTGGATCTTTGATGTGGTTGGAATGCCTCTTCTTTTTCAACATTCTATTCTGCTTTCTTCTGTTCTTTTTGTTGCTTCTGCTGCTTCTCAGCCAGGCTGTAAATGCGCATTATTGTATAGAATATTTATGGAACTATTCTAGAAAAATTACCAAATTGTTAGTGCTGCTAAATTATGTTCTCATAAATAGTAGCAATATTTGAGCTGTTGAATATACTTGCATCACCTTGAAAATGAATCAAATTATATTTATCATGTAACAGCCTTTCAAGGTGGGAAGATCATTTTGACACTCAAATCAAACTATGGGCGGTAAAAATGTCAAATTATTTACACCAGGTGGCCACTTTTGTGTTCCTTGCCTTTTCAAAATCAGACCTATCTGAAGAAAAGTTTTGAATTTTAAGCTTCTGATACCAATATTGAAAATGTAGCCAACTTTTAAATAAAGGACTGCAAAAGTCCAGCAATAGGACCGAAAGATCATTCTTAGGTCTCAAACTGGAAACCTTTGTTTAAGGATAGAAGTTGCCCTGTCTTACTGGTATCATTTTATAGTCCAAGCATTTCAATTTGAGGCATTACAAGCAGCTAGCTTATATATTATATAGGAAAATGAACAAGCAATCATCATAGTTGGAAACTCAACTTCAGATTTCAGTCAAGTTAATTAATTTCAATTTTATAAATATACATAAAGTGTAGAAACAAAGGGGAAAGAAAATATTTTTTTAGAGAGTGGGTAGGAAATATAATGGTCAAACTAGAACCAACAAGGGCCACAACAAAATTCTAATCAATCTTGTGGAAAACTCTATAGACTCTTTTAATAATATAATAACCACCATGGAAATAAGGAACCAGTGACTTATTTTAAAAGTTGTAAAACCACAATCCTGTTTGGTTTTCCAACAAGATCCTATAAAGTCCATAGTGAGTAAAATCCATGTACAGGAAATTTTGTCTTGTGTTGTCTGTATCTCACTTGTAGAGGCAGAAATTAATCTTCTTGCTGAAATAAAGTATAATCTGATGTTGCTTCGCTCTTGTGCACCTGCACGAAAAATGATCCCAGTTTATGAGATACACATGTCCCTTCAATCTCAAAATGCATATCTGTATCTCACTTGTAGAGGCAGAAATTAATCTTCTTGCTGAAATAAAGTATAATCTGATGTTGCTTCGCTCTTGTGCACCTGCACGAAAAATGATCCCAGTTTATGAGATACACATGTCCCTTCAATCTCAAAATGCATATCTGTGCACATATATCTATAGGGAATCATCGAAAAATGCTACTCAACAGTATAAACTTGTGATATTCTTTTCTGCATTGTGATATTCCTCGACACTTTTGGAGACTTAAATAAGCATAACTGGGAAGGTTATATCTCAAAAGTGTGTACCACTGATGCTGGTTGTATAGCTAAGACCAAGAGTAACTATTCAGTAAGATCTCTTGTTAACGGCCATTGTCCAGACAAGTCATATCAGGGGGAAGCCAAGGTACAACTGACTGAACACTATCCATTCTTCAAAGGCAAAAGTAATACTATATTACTACTCTATGTATATCTCTGAAATTGCTGTTGGACATGGAAACTAGAGCTCAGGTTTAGCTAAGTGCAGGTTCCACTATAGGATACCGCTAGAAGAATTTTTATCACCTTTAAAATACTTAAAGGGTCCAAAATTTAAGCTAGCAACATTGTAAATTTGATATAGTATCATGCAAAAGTCAAAACTGGATTATTTTTTTGATGACCGAGAAATCCGTCGGGGTCAGTGGCCTTCAAAACACGGGATAATGGGCTCGCCTCTCTACCCTTCTCCACTTAAAACCAAGCTTAGTCCGCATGACACAGGGCTTGAACCTGTGACTTAAGTCACAAGTCCCTCGACCTTTGCCGCTTGAACTAAGCCCCGGGGGCATGCAAAGCTGGATTATTAGTCACCTCATTGTTTGAGAGCTTCAGATACTAGGATATATACATCCTAGGCAACCAAGATTGTTTAACAGTTCTATCCTTCTTCCATATTTCTTATATAAACTTAAGCTATGATAGGCATAAAGCACTATGATTTTAAATTACATTCCACTCTATTTACTTTTCTTTTTATCTTTCTTCCATGTTTCTATATAGAATATGCAAGACAAGATAAAGTAAGCTTCAATGAAGAGATAACCCACCTCAGCAGTGCGTGAAGAACCTGTATGAAAAATAGGAACAAGAGATGTCCAAAGAACAGGGTCTGTTAAGGGATCTACGTTGTTGTAGTTAGTGAGAAGTGGTGCCGACAGGAGTGGAGTAAGTGGGTGCAAGTTTCTGCTAATAGATGATCCCCCGGGGTTTAGAAATGCAGCTCCAAGCCTCTCGCTTCCACTATCAGGACTTGATTTCTCAATCGTCTTCCCACGGTCGACTCTGTTGATAGTGCTTTTGTTTTCATTCTCATCATTCTCAACTTTTTCTTTCTTTTTAGCAACCTTCTCTAGTAAACTCTTGTATGCTGCAGATTGTGACAAAATGCTCATAGCAGACAGTGCGGAGCTTTTATGATTCTTTCTTTCTTGGCACACACCCAAACGGGGCATCTCATATGGTTCAGTCTGCCGAATTGATAATTCTGAAGCCCTAAGCTCATTATCAATATCTTCAGGACAACCAACCTTTGTTTCCTCTGACGTTTTCAAATGGGAATCTGTTTGACGAGCTTTATTACCTCCCCACCACTTGATGTAACTTGACAAGTCAATCTTTCTATCCATGCAGAAACCACCAATGTACTCATTGTTGACTGTTGCATCATCACCTTCGAGAAATTTAAGGATTTATAAGAGCTGACTTCAGCACTTGATTTGCTAACTAAATCCGTGGTCTAAAAGTTACTGTTTTAATACAAACTTCTTCTTGTATGACAAGAACTGCACTCACCATACTGTAGGCTGTTAAAGTAATCAGCTCCAGGCACACGACCAAATTGCAGATCCCATCGACTACATTGGATGCAGAGAAGAAAATACGGGAGACATTGTTAATGATGATACATCTAAAAAACCTTATGAAGAAGATCAAGAACCAGGAAAATAAGTAAATGTGGATGTGACAGGAGAATTGAACAGCATTTTGTCCTTTGTCACATAATTTTTTTAATTTACGAAGCCATATAAACACACACACATGATCTGTCTTAGCACACCTGGATAGAGGACGATATTTGGAGATCCCTCTGGAGAAACCGCCGCTCTTTCTGCAAAAATGAGTTTATGAGGAACCAGCAAATACCCTTCCAAGCACATGCATATGCAAACAACATACCTACCTTCTTAATGATGCAAGATAATCCTCTCTTGAGACATTTTGCATCTCTTCAAGGTCCCTTGTGTAATCTGTCACCTACATAAACGGTCAGCGCATTCAGTACATGAAAGTAAACTCAATGCACATCACCTAATACAGTTAGGAAACATTCGTAAAGGCTCCGTTTAGTCCTTTCACAAGAGTAAAACAGATCCAATATATAAATAAGTCAGGAATTAAGAGAATAAAGCAAGGGAAGAATTTGAGCTGCATCCTTGAGACGGGTAGGAGGAGGGGGAATGGGGCAGGGCAAGATGCTTGTATTACTTGATAAACTGAGAAACAAACCAATAACAAACATCTTACTGGGAAGTTAATGAGAGTTCCAGGACCCCAATATTTCAAAGCAGCAAGATCGTATGCTCTTGCTGCAGCCTCCTCCTCATCATACGCTCCTACAAGAAGTTTTGTTACAAAACAGTTTAATCTCCTTTTTTGTGCAGTACCTAAGAAAAGGATAAATCAAGGTACTCACCTAAGTAAACTGCCCATGCAGATCAAGCAGCAATAAACACCCCAAAGTCCATGCAATATAAACACTTTCTAAACATCAGTATTTTCACGAGAAACTGAAGCATTGAGCTGAATTCTGATCAGCATGCAATAGAAACAACAATATCTGCAAGAGAAACAAAGGGAAACACCTTGCTTTCCTTTCTTATTTTGGTTTTGATTCCAGGTACTTTTATCCCAAAGATGAGCTTCATAACGGCCAGTCCATCTATGCCTAGTCCCATAAATTAAAAACATAGTTCAAAATTTTTCCAAGAAACAAGAAAAATTCTTGAGGCAAGCAATATCTCGCTAAAAAAACAGCCAAGACAGAAGGAGAGTTCACATATACCATCTTATCTGACTCTAACAAATAGAACAAACAAAATACCCAGTCAAGAAAAGAGACAAAACCTTTAGGCCTTGATCTTCCATACTTACTCACTAACTATTTTATTAAAAGTCATAAAGTGGAAATTCTTCATTCCTTCTACATACTAAACCAAGATGTAAACACGACCAATGAATGATTCTAAATTCCATCAGCCTTTTTGTTTTACCTTACCTAAGGACTCAAATGGGGCAGGAAACTTTTCCCATCCCAAATTTTTTCAACTTCATTTTTTTCTCAAAGAAGGGAGGACGTAACCGGTAAAGTTGCTGCCATATGACCAGGAGGTCACGGGTTCAAGTTGTGGAAACAGCCTCTTGCAGAAATGCAAGGTAAGGCTGCATACAATAGACCTTTGTGGTCTGGCCCTTCCCCGGACCCTGCGCATAGCGGAAACTTAGCGCACCAGGCTGCCTTTCATTTTTTTTCTCAAACCAAATAAAAAATTCTACAAACACCTCTACTGTTTTTTTTTTAGTTTTTCCCTTCTTTAGCATTTCAAAAAGTGTATTTAGAATATAGAAACAAATTCAAATATCATAGAACGAGTTTATCATCTATAAGCAGGCTGCATTGGTAGACAATAGACATTTGCACACATGTTTCTGTCATACATGGCACGGTTCCCGAGTCCTGATACACTTCACCTCCCTATTTACAGCTATGTGCTCATCGCCATGTGTAAGTCAAGAAAGCTACCATGGGGATGTTGCTCGTTCACTAATATGCAAAATCCAAGATCCTAAGCTTTCTAATTCGTTTACTAGTGCTGGTGTCTTTCATATGGCACTGAACTGCTGAAAAGTGTTTCCCTCACTGCTATGTTAGAAGATTCATAGGTAGACCTCCATAAAAGGACCCAATTTTGGTCTGTCAACTCAGACAAGCTAAATGTAGAGAAACTAGATTCTTATGCAAATAAGCAAAAGAAAAAAAAACATATTTGCACATAGATACTCTAAAACTTCAATAAATCTGCAATTTGCCTTTTACCATCCCGTACCTAGTGACACCACGATAGATGGAGCTGCGCTTCCCTGCAGTACATGGGGGCATTTTGCTTATGCGCTCCTTGGCTGTACAACCCCTCTCTTTCTTTGCTTTCTTCAGTACTCTATACAGTAATAGCTGATCAGTCCCTATAGAACCCATCGCTTCTGATGTTTCTCCACCACCGACATCATTTCCACTGCTACCCTCAGGCTTGGCAGTAGGCTCAGAGGAAGGGGAAGCCATAAGCAGAGCTGTCCCTGTAAGAGAACATAACATAAAGGACTGACCAAAACAACAAAATCATAATTCAAGAATCTTGAGAGATTTAGATGAAGCTTCACTCTTTTGTCAATACCCAGCAAATAATAAACGAGCACCACTTTTGTTTAATTAATTTCATAGTGATGATGCAAGACAGAAATGGGCATCCATTTTTAATTCACTTCAGCTTTTGCTCAGATTTCATTTTCCTTAGAGCTACTTACAACTAATTTCAAAATTTTGAAACTTATACTTTTTTATCACTTGTTTGGTCAGTGTTGAGAAAAGCTAATTTAAAAATGTTTAGAAACCAATTTCTCATATGTTCAGTTCTTTTTCTTGAAATAAGATCGAAGGGGTAAATTTTTTTGTTTCCTCCCTGCTTTTGCCACCACCAAACAACGAAGGGGAAATGCATCCGTTCATTTTTGCCTTCATATTCTCTATGATCCTCGGAAATCTTATAAACAACAAAAAAGAGAAAAGGAGGCCTAAAATATTACACTTAAGGGTAACTTACTAGTAGTCGATCATTAAGGATGTTGAAATTTCAGAAGAGAAACCTTATTTGTAAAAAACATATAATCATAATTTAAGAAGAAATCAAAGCTCCGACTCATCATATATTTATAACTGTCCTTACACTTGATTATAAGGTATATTAGGGATATACTTGGTTAACTTCTTATTTTTGTTAAATCAAAAGTAACCAAATTTTCTTAGCTCAAAGCCTCTCTAGATTTATTCGGATATGTTATCCACGAAAGCGGTAAGCTTCATATGCTAATAAATGCCACACCATTACAATAATTTTATCTAGTCACTGAACTTTCTGCTAAAACATAGTATAATCCTGTAAGGAGCTCACCACACAGTCTAAATAGTAGTAGAATATATTGGGCTATAAGTGAATAAAGCAGCAAAAAAAAAAACGGAAAAAACCTAGCTTTTGTCCATCCCTCTTTCAAGAAAAATGCATAAACAGTTGAGGAAGTTTCTTATAGCTCAATATATCAAGAACAACAGACCCCATCTTCAGAATTAAAAACCCAAATATAATCAACCTAAAAGAAGACCTTTTTATCTGCACAAAATACTGAATTCAAGATACCAAGTGTACAAAATTAGAAGATACCTGAAGCAGACAGAACTAAAGAACTTTAATGAAGCTGGAAAATCAGAGTACCATTTGAAGCAGAGAGAGATAGAGATAGAGATAGAGAGAGAGTGTGTAGGGGCCGGCAAAGGGGCTACACAGAGGAGCAGTTTGATTTTCACCAGAAAGTGTAATGGGAGGAGAAGGTGAGTCAGAAAGACAATAATATCCTCAGTTTTGATTGGAAGATCCAGAAGAGTAGAAGTGGACAGGTTCAAACGGTTATGTTACAATTGAGGGTAATATAGGCATTTCTCCTTCTTTCAAAGTGTCGCAGTCATGAGACTCACCATGTGCACGTCAGGGACACTTGTCTAAAATGATTCCACCTCCTGCCTCCTGTCGAGGCACACACTCGATACTCTTTAGACAAAGTCACCCTGTAATTATATTTGAGTGTAATTATACAATTTTAACATATTTGTTTGACTAATAATTAGGCATAATTGAAGGATATAATTACACTTTTTAATGATCAAAGATGGGCTGAGAATTACTGGTAATTAAATGATGTAATTACAAGATTATTTTTTTCAATCTTTTTTCTTTTCTTTTTAATTTACTTTTAATTCTTTTTAATTTATTGTTATTTTAACTTTTAAAATTCTTTTTTGTCAAATATTAATCTTTTTACCTTATTTATCTTTTATTTTCTTATTTCTTATTTCCTAACCTTTACTTCACGTGTTTTTACATAATTTCTCATATTTTATTTATTTCTTAATATTTTATTTATTTTTTAATTACACTTAGCTATGTTGTTCTAATCCTTCTAAAAAATTATAATCGTAATTTTAAAAAGAATAAGTTATCCACAAACCTGACTTATAATGAGTGATGTCATTAAAGATGAACTTTGTTATTAGATGAGGTCATATGCAAACTTAACTATGTTAAAATGATATAATACTTTTTAATATTTGAATAATATTCTCATTTTCAACCTTTATTTTTGTGGTACTATGTAGCTGCTCATAATTTTTATGTTTCTTTGTTCAGCATAATTGTGCTTTTAATCTGATTTTAGGATACCTCCTAATATTAGAAATAATGAGTTATTAATAAACTTGACATATATTGAGTGATGTCATTAAAATTGTTGAATGAAGTGATAGACTTATATATATTTTTTAAAGTAAAATTATATTCACTTAAATAATATTGAAACTTATTTCATGTTATGTTGTAGTTTTACATAAGAGTATTATGTTAATATTTTTTGGAGTTTGAATTTATGTTATATTTTCAGTTCCATTTATTTGCTTTAGTAGTATTTACTTTTGAGATTGCATGCAATTCATTTTCATTTAGAATTGATAAATTATTTTTTCGTAAAATATTTGAGTAATGTTATGATATTATATTTATATAAATTTATTTTTTTATCAAGCATGCAGTCCATGATGTTATGTACTTTTATTTTTTATAATTAATTAAAGTAATATTATATATATATATATATATATATATATATATATATATAAAAATCATTTTTACAATATTAGTTACATATATATTACTAATTAATATATTCTCAAGAAAAAATATGCATCTTAAATGTCAAATTTAATATTATTTATAAAGGCATACATTTTTTAAATCTTAATTTTTAGTTTTGATAATTAGATTTATATTTAAAATTTAATCTAATTATGTAATTATAATTATCCTGTAATTATATTATGATAAACATTCAGGTCGTTGTAATTACAATATTGTATAATTACTAGGCTGTAGTAATTATACCAATTTCAATACCTGGTGGCTTTCCAAATAGACTTTTACAAGAAAATCTCATACTCTTTCAGTTTTAGTTTGGATGATGTGGTTACTTGGTACAAAGTTTAGGGAAAAAGAACTTTTGAAACATGTGGTGCTAAAAGCTCAAGGGACAAAAGCTTTGTGTTGCTATTAAAGTTTCTCATTAAGAGTAAAGATGGTAAAATAAAAAGTTCAAAATTAAATTATTTCTAAATATAGAAACGTATCATTCTTTTCGGAACAGACTAATAAGAAAAGTGTGTTATTTAAATTGAAACGAAGGGAGTAAAATTTTCTACTACTCTAATATACAACTTTGCGTTAAGCTAAAAAAAGAGTATTTCAATGATGGTCATCAAGTGAATCACTTGTTATCCGTTTTAATTCTTCAAAATTTTGACAATATGAAAAGTTATTTTTTTACTCTTTAGTTTTGGTAATTAAAAAATAACATACTTTACACACATAAAGAGGGGGATGGATAGATAGACGATATAAGCCTAAAGTAGTCCACTATCCTTAAGATTATAAGCACTGGCTTATCATAATTAGAGAGTTGAGCCTCACAATTGTTAATAAATTTTTACTTAGAGGGATCTCTTTCTATTTATTATCTGGAATCTTTGGACGAATAGAAATTGAAATAATTAAAATAATACAAACATTGTCATGGTCTTTGTGACCACTACTAATTGACGAGTGCAAAACACAACACGAAATTGATACTCGCTAGCCAAAGATAGTATAGTATAATTATCGTCTCCACAAAGATTGGATTTAAACAATGTTCAAGTAATTTTTGGTTTAAACGCTATTCAAGATATTTAACACTTTGATTTGGGATGATTAATTGTAACAACCTGATAGGTCGTTTTGAGTACTTGCCCTTATTTCCGTGTTTCGAGACCTCTATAAGCTTCATTTGATGTTTCATGATTTGCGTGCGCAGTCCGCATTATTTTCTGGTAAGTTTTTACAAAATTTGAAAAAAAATATGATTTTTGACTTTAAAAACAACTTGAGTTATCAATATTTTGGATAAACGATCCCGGATCGGTATTTTAATGATTTTGGTAGGTCCGTATTGTAATTTTGGACTCAGAAGTATGCCCAAAATTGAATCTGGAGGTCCCTAGGTTGATTTGACTTATTTTACCAAAAGTTAGCAATTTGAATGTTTGGAAATTTCTTAGTTTTGACCATAGGTTGACTTTATGGTTATCGGGTTCGGATTTTAGTTTTGGGACTTGGAATAGGTCTATATTTCTATTTGAAACTTGTGTGCAAAATTTGGTGCAATTCGGAGTTGGTTTGATATGATTTGGATGCTTGGTTGCAACTCTAAAAGTTCTTGAATCTTTCATTGAATTTCATGAGTTTTGATGTCCGATTCGTGGTTTTAGATGTTATTTTGGTATATTGATTGAGCGAGCGAGTTCGTATGATATTTTTAGACTTGTGTACATATTTGATTTGGAGCACGAGGGGCTCGAGTGAGTTCGTGTGTGTATCGGATGAGTTTTGGAGGAATTGCAATAGATGGTGTGCTTTCAGTTCTGGTGCTGATATGCAGATCTTGCATTTGCGAAGTCTAGCTCGCAAATGCGAACCTTGATTTTGCGAACATGAGTTCGCATTTGTGAGTAGGGGCCTGGGCAGGGTGACCTCGCAATTGAGAGGAAATGGTTCGCATTTGCGAACTGACTATGGCTACTTTTGCGAACATCTTGGTCGCATTTGCGACTCCTGGCAACTTAGGACAACTTCACATTTGCGAAGTAGTTGTCCGCATTTGCGAAGGGGGATAATTCACATTTACGACTTCTGGGCTTCTGACGCACAGTTCACATTGCGACTTGTGTTTTGCATTTGTGATGGTCTCAATCGCGAACAAGAGTTCGTAATAGCAACATCCGCAGCTGTGCAAAACAGGGAAAAATCGAAACTTAGCTCATTTATACCATTTTTTTTGTTATGCCTCGCAGTATTACGTCGATGTTACGCCCCACAGTATTATACTACAATGATGTTACGCCCCGCAGTATTATATTATGATAAGTTATGCCCAGCAGTATTACATCGATGTTACGCTCCGCAGTATTATATTACGACGATGTTACACCCTGTAGTATTGTACGTTGAAATTGTCGTAAGATAATTGACCTCAGTTCAAGGACAAGATTATTTGTAGATTATAAGTATTATGCTATTTCAAACAAGTTCGTTAAGGTGAGCGGGTAAGTAAATCGAAGAAAATGAGTTTCGTCGAAGTTTGTCGTTAGAGATAAAACATGGTCCGAGCTATAATACCCGGTATTTATGGACTAGTGCCATATAAGGTACCACATGACCATAATAGTAAGGTGTACAAAGTGTATTAAAAGTGAGTAGTATTTTAAGTAATTTGAGATAATTCCTAATTATGTGCATAATTGGGTAACTATTGGTTAATGGGGATTAACAAATTAATTAAGGAATTAAGTAGATAATTATTGGATAAGGACTAACCCCTTAACGTGGCAGCCCACAAAGTCACAACATATGATTCTTAAAGGGAAAATTTCACATAAGAACAACTGGGCTCCTTACTTTTCAATTTTATAACTCATATTTTAATATACAACCAATTAGCCCAAAATTAATAGGCTAAGATTCAACATCCAACTCCAATAGGTTCTCAAAATTACTATTTAATTTTTAAAAAAAGATTGCTCAAGTTTTTAAGTTAATTTTCGAATCAGTAACTGTGACTCAAATATTAGTTCAACAAACCAAGTCCATTTGGGTGGTGAAAATTTAATTTTTAACAAGCTTAAATATGTGGGTTTAAGTTCCGAATGTGATTTTGTGAGAAATTTGGAGTGAGTGTTATTTAGACTTGTTAGAAATAGTACAAGGAGGTTGTATATAAAATTTGAAGTCATTTAATGGACATTTGGATTAGTTTTGAACAAGAATTGCAACTGAAAATCGTGGAAGAAGTTCGTCTACAGAAGCGTATAAAGGTGTATAATAGTGTATAAGATGTGTTTATACACTCATATACACAATTATACAAGATTATACATAATTATACAAAAAACCGACTTCGTCTTCTTCCTTGCGTCTTTTCTGAAATTTAATTCAAATCTTGCTCAAATCTACTCCAAATCACTTCAAATTTAAATTTTGACCTCCTTTTGATATTTTTAATCAATTGGAACAACACCAATCAAAACAACTAACAAACTAAAAAAATTATATTTTCGAAAGCAAAGCTTTAAATAGCCTTCAATGGTGGACTTCTACTCTTATATTTTTTTACATTGCAACCAGGTGACATAGGGGGAGAAGCAGTAATGGAGGACGGTCCTTTGAAGCATATGTAAAAGATGTGAGAAAAAGAGAGAGTGAAAGCAATGGTTGTGAGAACACA